GCCGAAAGCCAAACTCCTACAGTACTCCTCATGCATGACATTGTGATGGACTAGTTGACTACAAAACAAGTTGTTTCACACGACGTACGTTTCGCCGTATGGTTCGTGACGGCTCATCAGGTGTGCAATTTGAAACTCGGATGTTGAGCCATAAATAAATGTGGAAGAGAAAAGGACATATGGATACGAGTTTAGAGTAACTCTCCATCACTGTAACATGATACTATATACAGTCAGAAAGTGCAATAACTAGGCACAAAACTGACAGAGTACTGAAACATTCGACGTCCTGACACCTAGCTTTAACACATCTCCGTAGCTCAACATCCGAGTTTCAAATTGCACACCTGATGAGCCGTCACGAACCATACGGCGAAACGTACGTCGTGTGAAACAACTTGTTTTGTAGTCAACTAGTCCATCACAATGTCATGCATGAGGAGTACTGTAGGAGTTTGGCTTTCGGCTTGTACAATTCGTTTTCGCAAAGCTTCCCTTTCTTTACTTATCTTTGATATTTATGACCCACCCAAGTTGGGTGGTGTGCTGCTTTGCTGCTTCGAATTGTAGTTAGACCGCTTTGTCAAATATCGTACTGGTCTCGTCATCGTCCAGTAACAATCGACATTCTTTGTTCCGTTGGGACTGTGGCTTTTGCTCGTTTTCGTTGCGCTTGCCTTCCCCTCTTTGGTCTTTTCCATAACCTTGAACCTTCCAAGTTGGAAGGCTGTCGGTTAGCGCTACGGAGATGTGTTAAAGCTAGGTGTCAGGACGTCGAATGTTTCAGTACTCTGTCAGTTTTGTGCCTAGTTATTGCACTTTCTGACTGTATATAGTATCATGTTACAGTGATGGAGAGTTACTCTAAACTCGTATCCATATGTCCTTTTCTCTTCCACATTTATTTATGGCTCAACATCCGAGTTTCAAATTGCACACCTGATGAGCCGTCACGAACCATACGGCGAAACGTACGTCGTGTGAAACAACTTGTTTTGTAGTCAACTAGTCCATCACAATGTCATGCATGAGGAGTACTGTAGGAGTTTGGCTTTCGGCTTGTACAATTCGTTTTCGCAAAGCTTCCCTTTCTTTACTTATCTTTGATATTTATGACCCACCCAAGTTGGGTGGTGTGCTGCTTTGCTGCTTCGAATTGTAGTTAGACCGCTTTGTCAAATATCGTACTGGTCTCGTCATCGTCCAGTAACAATCGACATTCTTTGTTCCGTTGGGACTGTGGCTTTTGCTCGTTTTCGTTGCGCTTGCCTTCCCCTCTTTGGTCTTTTCCATAACCTTGAACCTTCCAAGTTGGAAGGCTGTCGGTTAGCGCTACGGAGATGTGTTAAAGCTAGGTGTCAGGACGTCGAATGTTTCAGTACTCTGTCAGTTTTGTGCCTAGTTATTGCACTTTCTGACTGTATATAGTATCATGTTACAGTGATGGAGAGTTACTCTAAACTCGTATCAATTTACATGATACTAAACAATGACTAGACTTGAAAGAAAAGGTGGTCCTGTGCCAGTCGATTCTGATTCTGATGTACTACCAGATCATAGTGAACTGAAACTCATTCACGACCCAATTGTTGAGCTATTCTTTTTTTCTTCTTTTGATTTATTGTTGCCCCCCTAGCCCTCTCTGTTGGAATAATGTACAATGTACATTGTACTCAATATGACGACACTCCTTTGGCTGTCACCCTGAATGAGTCATTCTAGAAACTTCTGTTCGTGCTTTGCCTGCACTGCGCAAGTCGAGGTACGAACGTACTCGAGCATGTACTGATGATGTAGCACTTCCTGACGGCCTAGTAGAGTGGGAAGATATCGAAGCTACTGCTGATATTATAATTATTGTGATTATGCTTTAACCAAGCTACATTGTAAATGCGCTAGGATGTAATACTAGTAGTACAGCCAAGGTATACCACATGCAGTCCGAGTCACCATGGTCACGACACATGATTCTCCATACTGGTCGTGGCGTCAGTGATAACGTCTTCATCTCCGGTTCATCTACTCAGTTATCATCGACTCTTCGGGCCTTCCGATGGGTTACTACTAGTATACTACTGCAAAGGCAAGGCACGTCCCATACATGTATACGCGTACGTGCGTATTTGAGCAGCAGCTGTTATTCAGAATGATGGACACACGGAACAACACGACAGTCGAGTCATGCACATACCGGTACTCAGTAATACTAATACTAATAGTAGCGCATCATGGGGATCAGTGACATGAGATACATGTGTCATGCACATTACATGTGGACACTGTGCAATGACTATGTACAGTCATGTACATGTACCTCACGTAGCTGTTTATGTGTTATTGTTGGTCACAGTTTTCCCAGCTGCCTAACTCCTACTCCTTAGTCATCAGCCTGGTATCCCTCGGTAAATCCCTATGCTAAACGTAGCAGAACAATTTAGTCCAAGTCGAAGCCCGAGTCTAGCAATAATAATTTTGCTTCTCTTGGGCTCAATGAGCTCGATAATAATTATTATCTGCTTGAACACCGCGAGAAGGAGGCAGAACCGCGGTGAATGAGTCGACATCGCCGAGGAAGCATTGGGAAGCGTTAGGGAGAGAACTTTCAATTTCATCCTGACGCCTGTATTCAATATCCTGCATACTGGCAGGTCAGCAATTACAGCCATTGTGCAGGTCAGTGATTCTCCGTACTTTAGTGTGCAAAAGTCGTTTCCAATCCCGCAGTGTCCCATGACCTACGTGAAACCACATTTATACAATCTACTGTTTGCCGTCAAAGGCTTCACCGACTGCTCCTAGGCCTTCCAAATGTCAATTATTGTTGCTAGCTTCACGCTGTCGGTCATAGCATAACCATCAGGCACGTAACGTTGCTACCAGACATTAGTCATGTATGTGTTATATGACATAGTATAGTACATTGTATGTCGGAAGCTCCACGAATGCACGTTTGGAAGCACACAGTGTCACTGTGCGAGTGAGAGACCGAAAAATGCTCCTTCACGCTTCTAAACAAGACCAGGCAAGCGTGATGGTAGATGCTTCTAAAAGTTAATGTCCATGGCATGCCATCTCGAGCAATCTAGTATAGGGTAGCAACTGTCGGATGCAAACATCTGGTAAGGACAGTAGACGGCAATATGGGCGATGCGTATGTCTGCTTTGGATCAACATTATAATTGTGTGCAAGTAAAGAGCATACAACCATGTACATGTACAAAGTCATGTACATGGCCATATATGGCCATGTACATGTACATGGCCATATATGGCCTTGGAACAGGACATCGCGTACTACAGTACTACTGAGTCATGCAGTACTGCCTTTCTCAAGTATGACTTCATCATCCTGCCAATGAATTCTAGATGTTTTATAATGAAATTTTAGGTATACATGTACATGCGTATGTACCGGAGGATTTTTTTCGGGGGTAACGGCCTCTTTTACGGGCAAAATAAAGTCATGTAGACGTGAAAAAAATTGAGATACCATGAAAGGTAAAATAGAATTTTATTCAAGTACAATACATTGGGAAACTCCAAGAAATTCCACGTAAAACAGACGAAATTCAGTTCTCAATGGCCGATGCCCAGCACCATCCTGCGTCGACAGGCCTGCATACGATGTACAACGGTGTACAATGTACATGACATGTACAATTATGTACATGTATATGTAAAAGTACATGTATAATTCTGTACCAGGCCCGGTACATGTCATGTAAAGATCATGCATGTGACATGACTAACAATACATTAGCATTGTGATCTCAAGCACAACATATTATTCTATGGGCTACCTGCAACCTGGATACTTCATACTCCTGATAGTTGTAGACATTCACGACGTGCAGGCAAGTGTGCAGGAGTGAATTCTGGTGGCCGCTGTATGTCCCTGGGATGGAAGCCAATGGGTCATGAAACCTCTTTACTTACGAAGAAGAAGAGAGAGTCAACTAAATGCATATCCATGTATCATGAACATGTGTACATGTACTTATTCGTGTCGTTGTACCATGTTTCTAGACTTGTGGTCAGAATGGGTGGGAAGAGATTGTTAGACTTTTTGTACGAAATATTTCCTCAGAAGTCTCCAACTCCACTGAAGCGTTTTCCTTCCACTTGTACACGTAAACACTTCCACTTCCGAACAGGCTCTCAGCTGTCACGGTACAAAATGATTGAAAGGATTTGCCAATATTTCTCCCATTGGGCATCTCAGGACATTGCTGAGGAATGGGAGGCGAGCATGAAAAGGTATAAAGCCAGGAATAATCTAGAACCCACGCTTTATGCAATTGGAATTATCACCTGGAACATCACACATACACACACACACACACACACACACACACACACACACACACACACACACACACACACAGACACACACACTCTCTCTTTCTCTCTCTCTCTCTCTCTCTCACTCTCTCTCACTCTCTCTCTCTCTCTCTCTCTCTCTCTTTCTCTCTCTCTCTCTCTCTTTCTCTCTCTCTCTCTCTCTCTCTCTTGGCACTTGCACTTGTCAAGTTGTCACGCACACATATCTCAACTCGTCGTAATAGTTTTCTTTTCTTTTGCTCTGTTGTCCATTTCTTCACCTTCCAACTGAAGACTGTTTGGTTGTCTTGCCAATTGCATGATGTATGGGTTCTAGAGCATTCCTCTGCCTTTAATAGTTAATCCTTGCTTCCCCTTACTCACTCAATAATTGCCCTGTTCACGCCCAATGGCAGAAATATTTGACAGCCCGTTCATTCATATTGTGCAGCTGAGAGCTTGTTCGGGAATGGCAGTATGTACGAAATTGAGTGAACGATCTCAACTTTTGTTTTTTGTTGTTTCTAATATTTCATTCCCTCAAACTAATGAATACTGCGATGCATCGGGACTAGCTACCCCCCGCGTACTGCTAGTTTGTGCGTGAGATGTGGGTGCAATGAGGTATGAGTTACACCAGCTGCTTGGACATACATGTAATCTCTCCTCACAGACAGTCTCCTCTTGAATTTAGAAGTCTAACAGCGTTCACATCAATACTCAACTTATTCTTTTGCTCACTGAGCAATACAATCTTTCCATTTTCTTTCTTCTGTTTTCTTTTTCAATTTAATCCTCCCTACCCAATATCCCTTTGGTGCGTCCATGGACCTATGAAGCCGAGACTTCTGGTCGGCGGAGCTTAATGGGCCCCACCACCACACTCCATCATTCACCCCAGTGTCTGGAGATATGTGGATTTTGTAGAAAAAAAAAGAAAAAAAGCCTGAGTAGTTGCACTGGGTGCGTTAGGTTCAAAGTCTGAAGAGACTGTTGAACAGTCTCTGCTGGGAAGACGACTCGTACACCATAGCTGGGAGCTGGGTAGAACATTGCTGATCACAAGCAAAGGTGCCTGGTTTCAAGTCCTTGCGGTAACAGTACATTGTCTCTTCACACTTGTCCCTTTTCATCCCCTGGAGCTTTTGGATAAAGCTGATATTCTCACTGTGGTGAAACTCTACACGATTATCAAATTTCTCACACCATCCATCTTTGGTGAGAAGATGATTGCCTTGAAGATTGCGGAAACGGCAGCAAGACCATGAGCACACACACACTAAACGCGTGATCAAGTCTCACCTTTCCCTAGTTTCTCCTTCAGGTCACACATGCATCCAACCAAGCAAAAAAGTGTTCATCGGGTAATGATAGAACTCATCATGCCCTGCCGAATCCTCTAACCTGTTATTCGCATCTTGCCTCTGGCTAAACGTTCACACACTCCTGTCCATCTCCGTTATAAGCTTCCGCGCGGACAGTATCGCTTCTTTTGAAAAACCTAGGTTGCCCTTTCCTGGTGATGCGAAGGAAGAGAGTTCCCTCTCATTCCTTTCTGAAATCCTATCCCCATACTAGAGTCATCATAATAATCAGTAGCTTGGGTAGACGCTTCCAGAGCTGGAACGTAGCAGGAAGAAGCCTCCTCGTCAGGTTGCTGTCTAAATGTCAAAATACTGCCTGTACTGATCAGCCGCCGGTCTCCGACTTGCCAATGCAGTAGTTGGCCTGTATTGAAATACGCTCTTGCCGCTGCCAACCGCACGGCACATTACCTTCCTGCTCTGACCCTGTACACGCTCGTTTGTTGAGACGTCTGACGACACCTGCTAACAGGCAATGCGAGTAGGTAAGGTCTTTTGGATTCCTCTTGGAGCACTATACGGGCGTGCACTTGCTGTTGTGCCTGGTTGCAATAGCGACGAGGCCAGTATTCGATTGAGTGGCCGCTATGCGGTAATCGAGCGATGCTCAGTTACTTCCAGTCCCAGTGTGGATTGACAACTAGAACATTATTCAGCGCTTGCCTAGTCACATGGTCGCTGCAAGGTTCTAGCCATGCTACTGAGCAGTTATTGTACCTGCTCCGCGTACTGTAGTTCCGTCGATACGTAACTACGCGACAATGGTGTGTGCTTTAAATCACTCGTGAGCTTCGCCAGTAGTACCGCATCTACTTCAAGCGATCCAGAGACACCCCCAGCGCTTGTACTTGTAGAGTTGCAGGTATCCACTGAAATAGCCCCCACTCAGCAGTGACACATCCTTACATAGGTAGCTGGCACAGACCGATTGGCCCGACAGGACAGCATGTAAAACTGAGAGGAGCCGAATGCTGTGGTGTCAGTCCGTCTGCTACTGGTGTCGCTTTCGGTTTCACTTTCGCCCCAAGTGAGACACCACCATCACAGCCTTGGCGTTGAACAAAACGCGAAGGCATCATAAGTACTCGACGAATTGCCGCGGATCACTCCCGGGGATCCCTGCTTTCTTGCCTTGTCTCTTGCGCGGTGAAAGGTTGTCGGAGAACTGGTGGACATGCAGTAACCTGCTATGCTGGATCGTGGTTGCTACAAGTATGTAGAAGAAATGAAGTTCGGAATGGATGTGCAGCAGCAGCAACACAAGTGCACGCTGATCCAGTACGACTACGACTGCAGTCAAGACTACATACTGTACTCGCTGAGTGATGTCACTGTATAGTCGCGTGTGGACATCACCCGCTGTTGGTAAGACATTTGTAACCCTAATTTCACGAACAAGGTCTTCCATTATAGCAAGAATGCATAACGGGAATGGAACGGCACTTGCCCCTACAAGCCCAGTGTAATGTTGTGAGGAGATAAACCCAGGAATAGAGGAGAGGGAACGCCTTTCGGCAGCTGGACACGCGGCTCGTCTGTTCTGGCATCGTGACAAAACCCATTGCGTGGCGCGATCATTTGATGCACAGATTTGTAGCAATAATCTACGCGCTTTGGCTCTGACCGAACATAGGATCCCACAGGACAGTGTGGAAAACCTGTTTATCCACTCAGCGGGTAATCCACAAATCCACAAATCTATGATCTACCTGTGTGATCTACCTGTATGATTGTGTATATGTATGACTTTCTTTGATTTTAGTCCGACCATGTACATGTACTTCAGACGCCCCCTGGAAAAGGTAAAGAAAATGCCTTGCTCTCCAAGTTTTAGTTCGCAAATTGCTCCGTTATCCTCGATTGCACCAGTGGGAGTTTTAAAAACGATCAAGCATTACATTCCTGTAGACTGCAAGCAATTTGAGGGGAGTGCAACGCGCCAACCTCAGTCTACAGAGGACAATGCCCGATTTTTACAGTGCATTGTCAGTTGTGCACATAGAGAAGGGTATAATACTAGGCCGCAAGCATACAGTGTCATTGCAAGTGCACTTCAGGTTTCATATTCTGTGAGTTCTTCCCCGAACAATCAGAGGGTATTATCTATTATGACTCACAGCAAACAACACCATGTTTTCACTTTACTTTTCTCTTGAAAGCATGCAACCAACAACATCGGGGCAGGCGAGTCACTATCGTCCATGTGCATGTATGTACATGTGTGTATGTTTAGAGTCCGTTTAGGCGCATATCTACTGCCTTCATTAATCGCCATCTTTCTTTCATCCCTGTTGTGCATTGATGGAGGTCAATGTACCACTGTGATAAGCATATCGTAATTCCGCGCATATACATGTAAGCCCATGGGCTTATGTGAAATAATGCATTTTGGGGATAACATAGCTAGTAAAACACGTTTCTTATTTAGCCCATGGGCTTATAAACGGAGGTGGGCTTATATCCGGATATAGGCCCGTGGGCTTATATGCGCGGAATTACGGTAAGCTGAAAGTAAGAAAAAATTAGTGCTGGGACGCCATGACACCACTTCTCCAATTCGGCGCCGAATGCCAAGTCTACACGTCAGAAGGACGGAACATCTGACCGCTTATGCCAGTTATGGCGCTGAGATCCCATGTGTCAATCACACTGACTACTGTGATAGCTACTGAGTACGCGGTGGTTGTGATGAGGCCAGGTCAGGACGGAGACACTGCATACTCTCTCTGACAGTGGCTTGACGCCGACTCTAACAGGATCGTAGCACTTCGAAGGACGGATAGAAGGACAAGGACAAAAGGTCTTCTTATACTTCCCGTATCCTTCCCGCGCACGAATGATATTACACGAATGCAGAGCATCCAACCATGCAACGCCACTGTCTCATGTAGCCACTTCTACCTAACACGGAATCTCAAGTGTACCTCGAAGTATCTTTGCACGAGCACTGCGCTAAGAGACATGGTGTAGAAATGCAGGCTCATGCTTGAGGGTAGTGAGCTGCCGTGGAGTGGTTTAGGAACCGCCGGAGCGAAACCTATTGGTTTTGATTTACATAGATCGTATGGCCGATTCTGCGCCTGGAATGTGGCAACAATCATGATCTCGCAGTGCCTGAAATCTTTACTTTGCTGGGCGGGCAGTAATGTATTGGACTGCGGAAGATGGACTTCAATGTGCTATCAGGAAAAGCGTAGATATCTCAGTAGACATTCGAACGAATCTGATGTCTAGTCGTTAATTGCATTGTGTTCCTGGGACCTGGCTGGTTCAAGTTAGATTTTTTATCAATCATCAATCTTAGAATCTAAACATGACCCTTAATCATCCTGCTGTTCTCCATCTGTGCTTTTTCCTGCTCTTTTCTCCAGGCTGAACCACAGTGTATTAGAGTGGAAGTGGCAGATCGCCTCCCGTTCCTGTCTCAAGAAGGAGGCACCCCAGAAGTCCTTACATTAAGGCGTTGTGCCATTGGCGAGCTGTGATGTTGGAGCGGCTAATACTGATCACTGCTTCCATGTCGCAGGTCCGTTGCATACACGGCGCCACAGCCTTCGTGCTGCTCGTTCACATACATGTAGCTTGGACGGTTTCCACAGCCGTTGACAGAAGTGTATCGGAAGAAGCAGCCGCTCGTGGAGGTTCCCCTCAGAAACTCATGCAACCTGCTGCAATCCAGCGGCATATTGCTTCTGCAGCAGAACCTAGTGAAGCCAGCCTCAAGCTAAGTCCTAGCCTGGATGATTTGATTCTTCTCGTAGCTCTAAGCAGTGCAGCACCAGCTCGAGATCAAGCTTACTTGAAGCGCGCAGTAAGGCGTTCCAAAGCCGACGACACCTGGCAACGAATGCTGAAGTTTTACACCGGGCACTCGGTCTTGCCACGTCGAAGTCGAAGTCGCAGGCGCATGTCAGCAGCTGTCGCTTCACGCACCCAGATCCAGCACCCGCAGCAGAGTGGCACAGCATGGAGTGTGCCCAGGACGCGTAGGCAGTTTCACAGTCGAGCAGCACTCGCAACAAACAGCGCCATTGGCGGAAAACTGCAGTGCACGCTGTCCTCACATGCCGTGTTTGGTGAAGATGTATCGACCTTTGGACCATTGCTGGGTTGCGTACAAGGCGTCATAAGATGCATTGAGAAAAAGCGCGATCAGTGTCTGAATCGTGCAGTGACCTCGGGTGACTTAGCAATGTACTGTCCCAGGCTGAGCGCAGAGGAGAAAGGCGACTGCGTCGAATCATTTCTGAGAACGAGATGTTCCGCATTTGCCAATCAGTGCCTGAGAGACTGTCGAGGTATTTCACGGTCTAGGAATACTTATAATGAGGAGTGCAGAATACGACACGACGGCCAAGTGTGTCACCGCTACACTAAGTTCCACCAGCAGCGCATCAACACGCAGAGTATCTGCGTGCCTCGTCGCTGCGACACACGCGTCGTGTCCGAGAGCCTGGCTCGGTATTACGGACTGCTCAGACGCGAACACACATCACAGTCTCGATCCCTAACGGCTGATGCTCTGGATGATTTGGTGGTTTGTGGCGGTAGACCGGGAAATCCCCGACATGCATCAAGTGGCAACAGAGCAATAGACATTCACCAACACACATCCTTAGGTCATGGTTCCTTCTCCTCTACTCAGAACAACCCTGCTACCGTTTCAAATTCGTCAGCAAGTCGAACCAAGCTGAGTCTACTTTGCTATGTAGTGACATTAGTAGTATTAGCACTATTTCGGCTGGTTGTACTGTGCTGAAACCTGTCTTCGGTGATTTGCAGAAGCATCAGAATTGTTCACTAACACGAGATGACTTGGCCATGCAATATCCTATCTGTATGATTTGGAATCATCTGCAGAGACAAAGGAATTGGCCAAAAGAACAGGACTGCGGATATCCCAGGGCCAGTGTGTCTCCGCCTCAGCTGTCAGGTTCTGCTGCATACACAATAACAGTGTTTATACATCATGATGGCAAACTGGGGTTGTACAGCTCATGCAAGTCGTCGTCGCAGCCAGAAGTATGTGACGTGATCATGGTGACTGATCAGAGAGCGGAGTATCAATGGAGATGTTTTCTTCCAGTCAAGCCTACTGGTACTACACGCATCAGCCTGCAGAGTGCCAATTGACCAGCAATGAATGAATGGTCAACTTCAATCAACAGAACTAGGAGGAGTACATGTATTTCGATTTATAGTGTGAAAATTTCTTGATCACGTGGTCTTCACTAAGCCATGGAGAATATTTGCTGGTTTTCATTGCAGAATCTTGAACAATGTCTTATTGAGTTGTCCAGTCTGCCTGTTCATTTCCGACTTGAAACTGAGCTTGACAATTGACAAATTCAACAAGCCCCATTTGGTGTTGAGGCGAAAATTTAATGATGATTTTTGAAGATTTTCGAGTTTGAATTTGAAACACAGGCTAACTGCCATCTATGTACATGACAAGTTCACCCTTCATGCAATGGTGATTTTGTTAGAATCAAGATTCAATATCAACTAATCAAGGTCTCAATCTCTATAATAATCAAGAAGTTGCAGGATACTCGGAGAATAAATTAGTCAATTAAGGTCATGTCCACCACTCTACATGATATCATCCCATGCCAATTTGAAATTAAAAATAATATGGCCAGAAATCTGGGGTTGAGAGAGCAGGTGTGGGGGGTGGTGGTAGCTAGGCAACAACTGGGCCGTGCAGGCGTCCTAGCAAACTGCGGAAAGTTTCACTCTGAGCATTAAAATCTGCGGGTAGCCGGTACAAAGTTTTCTCTCGCAGTGTATGCGGCACAGAGGCTACTTGTCCCACTGAAGTCGATCCAATGAGAACTGGAACGATGAAATTCATCTGACCTGTAAACATTGCGCTTTGTATGAGGCTGCATTCAACCAATGCACGCTGCAGTTCATCACAATCTGTAGTCCTCAAAAGCTCTTCCTTTACCAACTGGGTCAAGTTGAGGGGATGACCTTCGTCCAAAATCACAATAACAAACTTTGAGCAGGTCACTTGGTGAGATATCCAGGGTTCCATGCCAATCTCGAGGATTTCCTGTTGGTGGTAAGCATCCAAGATGACATTCACACCTTCCTGTCTCAGGGCATGATACAAGTGAAGCGTGTTCTCCTTGATACGGTCCGTCATACGTGAATAGCTGATGTACACACGCTTGTTGTTTATCGGTAGTCTGCACTGCTCGCTGAGATCCTGCAAAACCCAACACCACATCAGCGTTGGACTGGTTGAACACCACTGCGAACACAACTTTTCCTAAGAGTACCTGAAGTAACTTAAAGGGTGTGTTACCGAAATATTACCTTTCAGACTTTCGAAACAATATAATAAAGATTATTGATGAGCGGGTCAGTTGCAATAGCTCTCACACCAGTCAAGGTATGTATTTTGCAACTTGCTTCATTGGTTGCAGCTATTTTTCTACAGATTGTGTAAATTTCTTCTGGACTTCATTACTACCCTACTCACATCTGCTTACAAGATTACCAAAAATTCTACAGATAGAAACTACAGCTCCAAACTTGTTTTTCTAGCAGCTCTTGGACATGATATGCGTGTAAACAGTGAACAGTGCATAATCACTATACCTCTGTGCCGGCTAGCGTAACATCCTGTACCACCCTCCTTGCACATCTGCAGCCTAAAGTGGGTATGAAAACACACATATCTGTCACCGTACTACCCCGAACGAAATGGATTGGGAATGGCACCTAGCGATTACCTACAAGAAAGAACGTTAGAACATGCACTGGTGAATCTGTTGCATTTCCTGATGCGCTGCCACTGCCTGCCAGGTACAGTATTTACACGTTACTAACTATCAAATGTTTGATTACAGACCATGCACACACACACACACACACACGCACACACGCACACGCGCACACGCCCGCACGCACGCACGCACGCACACACGCGCACACACACACACACACACACACACGCACACACACACACACGCACACGCACACACACATCACACGCATCCTAATGTACATACTTGTCCATGCTCAAACTTTACACACTCTTCGACCTTTTCAATAACAGTCTCTGACCAGGTGTGTACCAAAGCTTTTCAAGTGTGCAGCATGGCAGAACAAGAAATGGAATACATGCACCACATTCTGTTCTTACATGACACGTGTCCTTTGCGGCGGCCAGATTGATAGTTCAGGGAAATGACCAAGATGATGCAGATCAATATGATAAGAGAGATGCTTGCAGCAATTCCTGAACAGCACACAAATAAACATATCACAAACCGGTTGGAGTTTTAAAACACTTAAACCGAGACCTACTGTCAACCTTGTGAATAACAACTCTCGGTCGTACATGAGAATAGTCACGGTCAAGTTGGCTGATTGGGTCAGCACCTCTCGGTATAGTTGTGCCAAGGCCATTTTCGTGCTGGATTTATGACCAGAACCTTACCCGCATAGACGATGATTGTCTGATCGGAATATGTTTCAGGTTCCACACTGGAGCTGGTATCCCTGTCACCCGTGGAGGTTACATCAATGTAAGGCCGGGTTGCATTGCTAGTCGATGCAGCTTGGTCAAAAGCAGCCTTGGATTGTGCTGATGGTGACTGCGCCAAGGCAGTGGGTGAACTGTACACGTGACTGGCTATGGTGTGTATTCGTGACGTGTCCACTGTCTCAACCTGCAAGCAAGCACAACGTAGTAGCATAGATTCTATGGCTCATGAAAAGTAGGATTCAGATGAAAGGCTATTCATGCACAAAATTTCCCAGGATACGAAGACTCCATTGCAGCCAACCATCAACACTTTGTTGAGTAGGTCTCTGTACTGCATGTTGAAAAGGAAAGGCAAAGTCAACCAGTATGTTGGGCCTTAGCAAAATGCACAGAATTCCCGGCTGGGATCGTGGTGGCTCGACAATGGCAAAGAATTTGAGATAAAGTCCAAGTTACCTACCGATATACAAGCCGCTTGGAAACTTGGAAAGGATACCTTTCTATGTTTACCTAACCCCTAACCTCAACATGCGCAACCTTCCGTTGGATGGCCACCAAACAGGACCATACCTATAGTTATTCAGTTCTTTGAGTCACCCATACAATAATGTGGACCATGACCATTCCATCTTACCATCAGTTTCAAATGGTCACCATCGTGCAGTGTGTGCCCGATGCGGAGTATGTGATATACTGCCTGTGGAAATGAGGTCACATTCGTACTCTGAGACAGAGATAACGAAAACACCAGAACAAGACTTCTCACATTTACATCCAATGGAGGAACGCATGTTAATAGATCAATAAGACTGCTACTTCGAAGAACACGCTAGGCCCGCATGTGTACACGTACAGGACTAAAGGAGATATAGATGTATGGTACGGGCAATGCTTTATTACTGTTAGTGCCCACTGTAGAGTTTTCTTCTTCACCAAACAGAACCAGAGACAAGTGATAGCAGGTTTGTACAGTATACATGTACAGGGGCGTAGGAGGGGTTTTGGAAGTGGTACGACCGAAGGTGGGCGCGGCCGAAAGCCCTGTTGGAGGGGGGTCCGGGGGACGTCCCCCGTGAAAATTTTGTAAAAAAAGACACAAAATCCTGCGTTCTGGGAACTTCTGGCACACTGACTGTGCAGTCGAGTTGAGTACAGTACTCAGTGCGACTGCAGATGCATAACAGATCTACGAGTACGAGTACGAGTCTAGAAAAAGGTCATATGTGGGCATAATTATATGCATCTGGATGGATCCTGATTTTTTTATTACGGTTTTGCACGTTCCGGACGGACCAAACTTTTCGAAAAGTGGTACGGCCATGGTCGTACCAGTCGTAGCGGGTGCTACGCCCCTGATGTACATGCAATCTTACATCGGACACTGAAGTTACTTACATTGAGTATGAGCTGGTCACGACAGTTACGCTGAGTTGACCTGCAGCGCAGTCTCTGGCCATGCCTGTAGACAACTACTCGCAGTGTACACTGTATAGGAGCCACCCACTGCAAGAACACGCTGACATATGCACTGCCCGTTGTCGCATTCATAATGGTCACGGAAATGTTAGCAAAAGAAATCGGTTCCTTAAAAGCTGCAGGAGAACAACGCACGATGCAAAGACTGGGTTTGACATTTCATCATTGAACAAGGTCGGATTGGTGCTTTAATATTACAGCACATTCCAGACAAGTTTTTGACAAAAAAAATTATAAATGTCAAAGTGCAAAAGAAGACAAACAATGGCCATCTTTCTGTGGGTCACAAATGACAAAGGCCTTAGTACTGTACTTGTAGGCCTGATAGGTCCAATATGCAGCAGAGTAACTCTCTGATGATAGAGCCAGTGGGACAGAACATAGCCAGGGCAAGTCCACCTGGACTGTCCATTGAGGCCCGGATACAGACAGACTTACAGCACTTGCACAAGTGATCAGACATCTGGACTACAGCTACAGAACAGAAACATAAAAACACACCAACAAGAAACAAATCCATTGTACACACATACATACACACACACACACACACACACACACACACACACACACACACACACACACACACACACACACACACACACACACTGTGGATAGCAGTGTAGTAAATATATTCACGGCCGCATTGTCGCAATGTTGTACTGCAGGGAGTGGTCTGGATTCATTGCATCATAGGAATGGGCATGGCCATGTACAGTCACACCCAGGCTGCCACAAGTCACAGAGCCTGTACAGTCATACCCAGGCTGCCACAAGTCACAGAGCCTGTACAGTGAGTCATACCCCTGCCGCAAGTCACGGAGCCTGTACAGTGAGTCATACCCCTGCCGCAAGTCACGGAGCCTGTACACGGTCATACCCAGGCTGCCACAAGTCAGAGCCTATCCATTTGTAGATAAGAAGGCAAACCACAGTCCCCCACACCACATACCGTATTTTCCGGAGTATAGTGCGCACCTTTGTATAACGCGCACCCCCAATCTTCATTGGGGGTGCGCACTTCAATCTTCATTGAAGTACATGCATTTCAAAATCGGAGCATAGTGCGCACCTGCGATTTAGGGCCGAAAATAGCACATCTAAAGTGCGCAGTATACTCCGGAAAATACGATATTGCCTTTGTCAAACAAACACAACTGGTTTAGTAATCATAGTGACCCACTGTCCATCCATTCGTTTCAAATAATTATAGATGAGTACCAATCTGCAGTCATGGCTACTACTTGAGTAGTAGCCACGACTGCAGATCAGATATTCCCTTACGGTGAGAGGGGTTCTGGCATGATGGTTCAGATACTCTGACATCGCGCAGGCATCCCATATCCTCACATGCTGTGAACGCAATCAACAAAAGACTTCAAGTTACATTGCATGCAGCCTGTTGTCAGCGACACAGTTGTTAAAAGCAAGGCTATAAATACTTCGAAGTAGCAGCGGCGGATCCAGCGATCTCTACAGGGGGTTCCAGTATAGTCAAAACTGAATAGCTGATACATGTACATGCACATGCATACGGTTGCCAGTAGTACATTTAGGAAATTTAGGGAACCCCTCCTGGATTCGCCCCTGAGTAGCCTATAATATATAATAATAACGTTAATGCTGGGGCTGCCAGGTGATTCTACTAAGCCATGTAGTAGCAACTGTGACATTTATGGTTCGAGGGCTTTAAGGGATGGCCTGGCTGAGATTGTGTGGTAGCACGGCTCCCCAGGAGATGGCCCAGTGGACAAGCTGTTAAGTCCTAGCCTGTGTTGGTAGGATCTAGCAATAAAGGTGTTGACCAATTCAGGAGCACTAGAGCACGGGAGCATACCGGAGTATCACAACACTTAGAGTGCACAGTATTCAACAGTGGTGGCTTGACCTAGTCTGTAACCTCATCATGATACTTGATTATCAGTGTGGATATTCCTTAGAGACTTGATGGGTCACAAGCACGGATGAATGGGTCACAATGCACTGCAGTTTCAACGCCTCTCAAAACTCAAAACGTGTCTTACAGGGAATGTTGAGAGTGCTCTCCACGGAGTGCCCACGGCTGTCTGTAGCATCTTTCAGAGGCAATGAAGTTACCTAGGAGATTAGCACACATTCCCAACATCAGTGTCCGTCGCAATCAACTGACTGCTGAAGAACAACACAAAGCAGACTGCAGGGGCGTCGCACACGGTACGGTCACTACGGCGTTGACCGTACCACTATTTGCCCCAGATACCCCGTGAATCAATAAAATACACTGATTTGGGCTCAAAATTTCCAAACTTTTCGGCTCAGCCATCCCTCCTCCATGAGCAAATTGTACTTCAGATGGCTGACCGTACCACACTAAAATACCTTCCGACGCCCCTGGACTGCGAATTGATAAAGAGGGATTTCAGGAAAGCACTCACTGTCTCAGGTGGGCAGCTGATCTAGCAATCTACTATTGGACTCAACACTGAAAGGAATGGGTTCAGTAAGAGCAGTAATAACTGATGAAGCATGGTCAGGCTCGAAACCTTTTAAGGCCATACTGACCACAATTTTGTATTCTGCTTCAGTGGACTGTCCAATGAGCTGACCAGACGCTAGCAGCTTGGTGACAATGCACGGCCATAGATCATTGTTGGCGCAAAGTCCAGTGTGAGGAACAATCTCCATTGTGTTCAGTCTGGGATATGCCGGTGATGCAGTTGTCTCCTGCAATAGGTAATCAAAACATGCAGTAGCACTTGTATAACTTACAGGCAGTTCGACTAGTTACGATACATAATTATACGGTGAAACCTACCAGTATGAGCCGACCGCTCGGGGGGCCTACAAATGTGGTCCCTGTGTACAGCTGGTCTCATTATCCAGGGTCATTTGACTGGAAAATTGGAAATAGCATCCCCTGGTTCTAGTGGCAGTGGTCCTCTAGGACAGGTGATCACCATATCAGAGTGTTCACCTTAACAGGTTTTACTGTAACATAATATAGCCCCGCTGATAACTGATAGAGCTAGTTTCAGACTCTTCACAATCAACATTCTTGAAAACCTTTACACAAGGACTTTCATTGCCTTCTCATCAGGTGGAACACATGCAAAAAGAAACTAACTAAAAAGCACCTGCAATAAATTCTATACAGCAGAGATGTGATAGGAACAGTGCTAAGAAGAGGAACCAGAAACAACGTGGTAAGATGCATAACCTCATGTACTTATAAGGAATCGGACAAATAGGTGCAAGTACGAAGGAACCAAACAAGTCTGTGATGTCACACGATTGCGACAACAATAGACACATGTTTCTACATGCATGTGTATGAGGTTATGCACATTTGCCATGTTTGGCTGCTCCTCTTTGCGCTATTTCAATCTCATTTCTTTTGCATAAAAAGCATTGCGGGCGCTTGTTCAGTTTATTTCTGTGCCCATGTTCCACCTGATTAGAAAGCAATAAAATTACATATGGATAATGTTTCAAAATATTGACTGTGAGGAGCCTGAAATTTGTTCTTTTCTTGAGTGTGACTGCATTTCGTCTCCAAAAAAACTTATACTAGTAACAGGTATCCTTCCATTTCCGTGTCTGCCATGATACTTGTACGCTAACGCTATAATCATAGGAGGGTATGCTTTGCAATGAAACAAGTGATTTGGATTACAATCCCACACACGTGCACATGTACATGATCGTACAACACTTGAACAATGCAAACATCGCCGCCTATCTAAAATCAACCAGGCTGATGGAGCTTGGCACTCAAGAATGATTTTCATTGTACAAATACCCAACAGTACAGATCGGATGATTGGGCAAATCTGCCACCCGTGTGCATGTCGAACTACTCACTGGCTAGGCAACAAGAAAACTCGACACACTAGTAGCATAATGTCTCTGACCTTGGAGAAGTAGAATGACTCCAGGATATTTCCCGCAAAAGACTTAAGCTCCAATCTGTACCCAATCAAGTTAGTATCATCTGAACAAGAAGCAAATGGAAGGAAATAATTAGCTGTGGCCCCATTGCTCAAGTTGAAGAGTTCTCTTCGGCAGCCTGCTGCCGTGTGACAAAAGAAGATTAGATATTGCTTGAGGAGAACTGCCTGGTACATCTAATGCGTCCCTGCATCTCTTCTGGCATAGCCGGAAGATGTACTACACGCACACATTGGAGTAAGGAAGGACCCTCCACCTGCAAGTGCAGTAGTGCCCCGGGGGCACAGGCAATTACATCCAATGACCCAGAGCGCAATCTGGTTAACTACATTTCAAATTAAAGTATGAAGTAAGCAGAGCAATGGGACGGACATACATAGGACATATGCATTAACCCCATATGTTTCATTTGGACTACTTGCGAACTGTGTTTTATCATTATTATTAGTATTATTAGTCTCTTTCCCTCAAACCAGTTAATATTTTATGACTTGGGGCTCCCCGCGTGCTAGTTTGTACGTGAAGTGTGTGGGTTACAGTGAGGGCTGCGTCCCACCCGCCTGTGTGGATTCATAGGAAGTGTGAGTTACGAAGTCTGAGGAAAATGTTGAACGGCCTCTGCTGGGATGACGACCACACCATAGCTCAGTGGTTAGAGCATCGCTGGCTACAAGCGAAGGTCCCTGGTTCGAGTCCTGGTGGTGACATTTAATTTTTTCTTCAGACTTTTCCCGTTTGTCTCTTTCCCTCAAACCAGTTAATATTAGTATTATTATTAATTAATTAATCCCCGCGTGCTAGAGTGTACGTGAAGTGTGTGGGTACAGTGAGGGCTGCGTCCCACCCGCCTGTGTGGATTCACAGGAAGTGTGAGTTACGAAGTCTGAAGAAAATGTTGAACAGTCTCTGCTGGGATGACAACTACACCATAGCTCAGTGGTTAGAGCATCGCTAGCTACAAGCGAGGGTCCCTGGTTCGAGTCCTGGTGGTGACAGTCAATTTTTTCTTCAGACTTTTCCCGTTTGTCTCTTTCCCTCTAACTAGTGAAAATATTGATTTATTATGAACATTAATGGGACATACCGTCAGGATCTCTCCAGCGCACAGCAATGCTGAAATGAGGAGTGAGTACACCGTACTCCACAAACACGCCAGTGTCGTAGAAGTCCATGCGTGGTGGACCAGGCGTGTGCCCGGCGGGGCAGCCGGCGTCTTCCACCGTCAACAGCTGATCTGATATTATTTCACTGCAGGCCAGATCAGTAATGTCTAGGCCACGGAGATTTATCATATGCTCGCCTGTCCTGCACATCTCTTGATAGCCTGAAAGCAAACCAGAACATTTACAATGTAGTTGAAAGTCACAGTAGAAAACAAAGTATTTCCAATTGATATCAAAATCCCATTGCAGTAGCCAAGCTGCACGACTATTGTGCCATTTTTAAGGTACATGTATGTATAAATGTGGTCTCACCTGAAAATAATTATTAATGTCAATCATTTTGAAAGCGTTGAAATGAAGTTTTTCACGAACGATGAAGCTGTGTTCTACTAAACGGGTTCTCCTTCTGTGATTTCTATGTACCAGGGGAAAAGTCCTGCTTGGAAGCGGAAGGATTTTTTCCAGCCGTGCTGCGACCCACAGTTAATTGGGAACTCGTGGCCTGGCACGAGGAAAACATGGATGCAGTGAATGGGATTTTCGGTCTTTGACCACTTGCTGGTGAGCTGATCTACTCACCTCCCACCGCTTTAGGAGCTGCATCTGCGCCTTGATCCTTGAAGGGTGGTGGCGTTCCTACGGATGCGGAAAACCCGGCTTTCACGCGAACCGTGAAATTTTTTTTGGAACTCTAGTTGTAGTATGAATATGCATGCCACAAAGACTGGTAGTGTCACACTAGTATGTGTGAAGCTTACAGAAATTGCCAGGGTCTTCCCTGGGCCACGATGCTGTGCAGCTATCATTCGTGTCGGCCCAATCCTGTGCTGGGATGCTGACAGCGCACAGAGCACTGGCCATGGCTAGCTGTAGCAAAGCACTGCAAGTGAGAACATCAAGCACAGAACCAGAACCAATGCCTTTGGATAACTCCACACACAACTAGTAATGGACTAAATCTCGATCATTAATTTAAAACGCTCATTTTTTTGCTTTCTGGCTGGTCAAATTGCTCCTAACATAATTACGGTATGGAGGTCAGGTATGCTGAAAAACACCGTCAATGTACATTTACATGTAAAACGATTTTTCCTTTGTCGGAGGTGTAAAACAGAATATTTCATTGCGAGAATAAATTATTCTCGCAATGATAATTTTGTTTTGCTTTCCATGATAATTTCCCTTCTCAACATCCATACGTGATCAACAGTTGAATTTAAATGAGCCCATGCGGATGGACATTCATTGATTTATTCCTTTCATTGCTTTCCAGTACACTTCAATAAAAACTATGTTTGTAGCCGTACAGTACAAAGTATTCAATGACCTACCCAAGGCCAAGGGTCCTCCGACACAAACACACTTACAAACCAAATAATTAACAGTGTACAGTACACGTTTTGCAATTATTTACACGCGGCGCCGCATACCGCGGTCACAGCATCCGGTCGGTCCAGTCGGAGCCGACCGTGTAGTATTACCTGCTTGTACTGTTGTAGTGGTGACATACCTGTATCTGTACTGGAAACACAGTGCAATGCACCGCGACCTGCGGAACAATCTCACTCTCGCTTCCCTGAGAGGGACCATTCTGCTGCAGATGGTCTTCCGCCTAGACAGTACTTCTGACAAGAGGACACGAAGATAGTCTTCAGTGGCTCATTCCGTCAACCACGGACTGCAGTACAGTATAGTGTACAATGTAGTCTTGGATCTGAAACTAGATAAGGAAATGAAGACGATGCGAGTACCCCACGGAGTCCTAGTCGTAGTGAACGGTGTGAGGTCTTGAAGCAAACCGTGCACCTTCCGACGTTTCAAGGCAAGAAATGGCACTCGCTGCTGACGAGCAGGACAGCAGCAACAAGCAACGTATTCCACTCCCAGACAGAAGTGCACAAGACCTCGCCTCTTTGTTCCTCCGCGATATACATTACAAGTTCCTGGTACAGTCATCTGCTGACTGTTTGGTGGCTAATGTACATAATCATTGCTGCGCGATGTAGCATTGCACAAAGCACTGGCACTGAAGCTCTGAAGCACAGGCTCGAATGGGCACATACAGTCATGTAGGTGCCTTCCACGTCTTCATCATTGAATGATACTGACAAAGCTGCACACAAATTAGTCGTTTAGGAAATAGTTGTGACCAGTACTAATAATGGTTAGCAGCTCCAACCACGTTGTGCATGACTACAACAGTACAAGTATAACAGTACTTGTCACTTCACTGGCTGTCAAGTACGTCACTTGAAGTATCCGTCCTCAACAACGCACGACTATGCACGACTATGGCCCTGTGGGCTGGAAGCAGCCACCTTCTTTCCACTGATATCGAGCGCAAACCCCTGAGATATGCAACAACAGCCTCGCCAAGGCCTCTGGAAATAATTTGAAGTGCAAGCATTGGTTCAGCGCGACCTAAGGCTAAGGCCAGTAAGGGGCAGATGTAACACTTAGCGTGGCGCTGTACACTTACAGCGCAATACAGGTGCTAAAACCTGAAGTGTGACTAGTACATCCGGGAACGTGCTAACCGGTAGTTTTACGCTCCAACAGTCCTAGTAATACTAATAGTACTAATAAGTAATAGTAATAATACACAATGCCATGAAGATTTCCTTGGACTGTGGAGCGTGCGAGTCGTAGGCTCGACGCACACAGACTCGGCGCTGCATTATGGGTACGACTTGTGACATTTTCTCATTTTCTTTACTCCTTATTCGTTTTACTTGTGCAGTGACGAAACGACGTGTTCACCAAACTCCAAAGTGGACAAAGACTTCTTCTGGAAGGAGTGCTCACCTGCTCCACTCGTTTCAAGTCCTACGAATGAAAACTCAACCCATTCGTGTCGTAGATCTATGCTCCGCAGTGACCATGACACTTCAATGGCGTGGCAAGATGTTTCGGTTATAGGGGGCTGGCTTTCAGGCACTAAAACTGCCCGTAGATCTACGAAGTAATTAGTTAGTTATGTCTGTTGAAATGTATCATTGTTGTACATGTGCCGCTCCTACATCGTACGTCATTTCTTTACAACACGCGCGTGGAAACGGCACTCGTACAACCAAGTCCAAGGGTTACATTAAATCTTACTTTAGTCTTAGCACAACCAAGATGGGTGTTGACTGTTGAAGTAAGACTCCACTGCAGCTGTACTTACTAGGGTTGATTCAAAATCAAATGGTGGCACACCCGGCAATATGGCGGTAAATACACGCCTGCCCACATACGCGGCTCTCTAGGCTGCAATTAGCTATTCCGGCACAGATGCCTTCTCAAAACCATCACCATCAGCTCGCGCCTGGCGCCTAGTCGATGCGTGGTTAGCGGATAGGTATCCGACATAGCAGGCTGGTAAATGGTGCATCCGGTAGTGCATGGCGCATAGCAGTCATTAGCAGATGGCTCAGCAATACAGTGGCATACTAGTAATCCCCGCTGAACTCATCAGACTCATCAGGCTTCTTCTGGGATGTTTTCATACCGAGCTTGACTCGGGAGAATGAAGTTTTAGTTGAAGAATCCACTGCAGCTGGGTTCTACGTCACTTAGGTGCGGGACATTTCGACGAGCGTCAGTTCGAAGAGGTCATATCGTCGAGAACCGTCTCGTCGCGGACACATTTCGAAACCCGTCACTTCGCTGCCACGACAACTCATCGCACGTCAACTGGGACCCGGGAAGTTCGGACCCCCGACGTTTCGAAGCGCCATTGCAATGTTCCCACAGCTGAACAGCCAGTGGCGGGTTTAGGGGGGGGGGGGGGGCGCGGGGGGCGCGCGCCCCCCCCCCCCTCAAAAATTTCGACCTAGGTTTCGAAAAATAAAAGGCAGGGCGCCGGGTCTAGCTAGACTAGGCTCGGGGCGCGCGCGGGCTGAAACCATGCAGGTAGACGATATTGATAAACTCCTTCAGACAGCTGTTTCGCTAATACATAGCTCATCAGTGAAGGTAGATGTTGAATGATTAAATATAATTTATGTATTATTATCAGTACGTACATGGTACTTGCTTTCTCTTCTTTTTTTCTATCCGTTTGACTATTTTAATATTTATGTATTATCAAGCCTCTTTTACGGGCAAAAATTAACACAATGGATTAAAGGGGAAGTTAAAGGGGAAGTATACCCTAAAATCAAATTTTCACCGGTTGTAGTCTTCGGGGTGCTGAGTCGAATGGTCTTGGTCCGAGGACGCTGCGACGCTCCCTTCCTATGTGAATCCCAATCGAACTCGCGCACTTCCACCGAAACTGGGTGACTGCGCCCTACTGGATGGGGATTTGTATGCAAAATCTCACTAAAAGCGCCATTTTGTTCTTATAAAAGCACGGTCATGACCGCGATTGGCCCATATGTTGTAGTCTTTTGGACGCTGAGTCGACTGGTTTTGGTCCGAAAAGGCTGCGATGCAGCGTTCCTCCTTTATTCCCAATCGAACATGGTTGAAGAAGCGGTCACGTGGTCCTGGTTGCCCAAATCACCTGGTCACCGCGCCAGCAGGCGACAACTTTCACACCAAGGTTCAACTCGAGTGACAGGACTGCACCCAAAAAAGGTCAAACAGGCTAGTAAGTTGTACCCTGCAGGCACGGTGACCAGGTGACTGGTGTACGCAGGAGCACGTGACCGCTTGTTCAACCATGTTCGATTGGGAATAAAGGAGGAACGCTGCATCGCAGCCTTTTCGGACCAAAACCAGTCGACTCAGCGTCCAAAAGACTACAACATATGGGCCAATCGCGGTCATCCGTGCTTTTATAAGAACGAAATGGCGCTTTTAGTGACATTTTGCATACAAATCCCCATCTAGTAGGGCGCAGTCACCCAGTTTCGGTGGAAGTGCGCGAGTTCGATTGGGATTCAAGTAGGAAGGGAGCGTCTCAGCTTCCTCGGACCAAGACCATTCGACTCAGCACCCCGAAGACTACAACTGGTGAAAATGTGATTTTAGGGTATACTTCCCCTTTAAGGCAAAAATTAAAATTTCACCAGTTGTAGTCTTCGGGGTGCGCAAGCAAAGACGTCCACGTCATCAAATGCTCTGTGGCTGAAACTCACTATTTTGGACTTGCTTATGCCCATGTTGTGATTCCTGAAGAGCACTTCACCACTGTCCAACGTCATAATTTCTGGCCTGCCTCCGTTCGCGAATGGCGCTTCTCCTCTGACAGTGTAGGTAAATGAGCAGTACATGCAGCCTAAATCCCAACGCTCTCCCCTTCAACCCACACCCTCCGACTACTTCAAATCGTTTCCTTACTGACCGCCTGGCCAACGACGAGGGCACTGAACGCTTCAGGGGTCGACCTCGGACGACTTTGGTAACGGTCTTGCAGACGGAACTGTTATCATGGCATGGACTTACCCTCCACCAGCCGCTAGATGTTGACGCAGTCCGCACAATGGCAGCGGACCGACAGGCATGGTGTGGAGCCCGCCCCACCTAACAGGACTGACCAGACATGTTGTATGCATATTCTATTTTATTTTATACTTTGGATGAAGTTTTCCATTAGTCATATTTGTGTTGTTGCTAACGGCTTTTGTTGACGTCACTTCTGTCATTTCATTGTATCGTATTACTCTTCAGACATCAATCCTGAATGGCATAAGCGAAAGTGGCACCCCCGCCACCTACCCGGACATGCTTTTAATAATAATAAATAATACTGACCGCCTCGACAGCCACTCTATCCAGTTCAAATTCCTCTGCCCCAGTATTTGCCCCCCTCCCCCCCCCCCCCCCCCCCCGCTCCACCAATGCAGCCAGAACGAGGAAGCCTGATCCACACCTTCCTAGTCAATAATTCCAATTTTTGAAGTTTCGCGAGCATAATCCGCCGGAGCCTATTTTCGAGCAGAATCCGCCAAGTGTTCGAGCACTATCTGACAAGGGCTAGTTATGCATTTTTTTCTTCTTTTTGATACGAAGAGAGAGAGAGAGAGAGAGAGAGAGAGAGAGAGAGAGAGAGAGAGAGAGAGAGAGAGAGAGAGAGAGAGAGAGAGAGAGAGAGAGAGAGAGAGAGAGAGAGAGAGAGAGAGAGAGAGAGAGAGAGAGAGAGAGAGAGAGAGAGAGAGAGAGAGAGAGAGAGAGGAGGAGGAGGAGGAGGAGGAGGAGGAGGAGGAGGAGGAGGAGAAGGAGGAGGAGGAATGGCTGAATGGGGCTGCAAGCATTACACAACTCACTGGCACAACAATGATTATGTAGTGCAGTGATGAGTAGCCCCCCCTCCCCCCCCCCCCCCCCCGGGCTAGGCGGGTTCTTCTCGAAAAGCAGTGAATGTGGCAGAACCACACAAGGCTTGTGCGGGCATGCACTTCCTTGCTCCATATCTTTATCCACATACATGTACATGTAGCAAACATGCATGAAACAAACCAGCCACACAAGTTAGTTAGTTAGTTCACAATGGCAGGGAACTTTGTATTGTTGCCACTCGGAGTTACTTCATGTAGATGGCAAAGTGGCCAATCATCAAACAGACAACGAGTGGATATGCTCATGAGTACCTTTGACTTGTCTTTGTATTGCAAGCCACGTGGACATATCTACATGGATCATCAGACATGGATATGCATGTACCCGGTATGTGGATTGTTTATTCGGATGCACTGACTTGATCGGGTCAGGTGTACAGTCAGGACACTTGGCCCCGGGGGGGGGGGGGGACTTGCATTCCCTCATGCTCACGTGCACGATGATGAAGTCACTCTATGTGTGATCACGTGCACGTAGATCGAAAGAACGATCGAGAGCTTCTTTCCTGCTTTTTTGAAAATGAAATAATTGAAATCAGTAACTCCTTTGGATTGGCTGAGAGTTGAGTTTGTGCATTGTTCCCCTCGTGGCTCTTCGCAGGTAGATCTAAACCTTGCTTTCTCTTCTCCATACGTTACGATGGCCTACCGAAGTTGTCGATCGTTACTTCTTTCCTCGCGTCCATCAAACATCTTGGCCGTATCTGGTAGAAGTTATATTGCTACACATGCTGCTCCAGCGCAATGGAGTTCCACGAGAGGCTACGCTCATCAGTATTCTCATACTGTAAGCCGGAGTAGCTCTGGCAGCCTGTGCTATATCTCATGGCGGACGTACTGCTCCGAGCCAACCAGTGACGCCACTGAACCTTGGAGAGATGTGTCACACAGCGATTTGAAGCAGATGCTCTCCGCTGGGAATATATTCTTGATCGATGTGCGCGAGAGGCACGAATTGCAAGAGACTGGAAAAATTGACGATCGGGCTGTCCATATCCCACGTAAGTATAGTAGTCATCTGAGGGATATGGTGGCCAAGAACATCACAAGTGTACAAATTACTCAGCATTTTGACATGGGGATCCGGATGAAATAGAAAAAAAAAGTGTCCATACATGTAATCACCACGACAATGTAATACTATATTACGTGTTTAGCCAGATAGCGTGAGCTGTCTATAAGGATATCCAATTCTTCACCAATATTGAGTACCAGGTCGGTAGCCCGCACGGGACGCGGGGCACGTGCACCCCCCCCCAAATTTTTTTTTTCGACCTAGGTTCAGCATGCACGTAATGACCATGAATGACATGCACCAGCCATCCTACACTTATGCAGCCGTGCACCACCCCCCCCCCCCCCCCTAAAAGGGGGACCAGCTACGCCCCTGACTGTACAGCCAGAAAAAAAGTGAATTCCCGTCCCGTACCGTATTGGCATACCGCTTCTCCACTGCCCACTCTGGAACGTACTCGTACAGTGTATGTTGAGCCGCTATCACCCGTGTGATAGTCAAAGGGGCAGATGTGGTGTCCCTCATCGGTGAATGTGATACGACTAGATTCACAGGCCAAGTGCCAAAGCCCATCAGGCATGTCGAGGACGATACCACACCGTGTGTATCTTGCCCTTGTTTGTCAGGTCACCGCGATTGCCTGGTGTCTGCGATGCGTTGCACTGTTTCTAAAACACTGCCCTGTGGGACGCCGTGTGTGTGGCTTGTCGAGTTTGCGAGGCTTGCCTGCTGGTCAGAACCATCGGGGTTGCCAACCGGTGACAACGCTGATGTTTGCTTCTGTTTCTGGCGGCCAATGTCATTTATTACTTACCAGTTTGCACTGCAGGTGTGTATCACAGGATGAAAGTGGCTGGCCTTATGCAGCTTGGAGACCGTCTTGGCATTTGAGTGATCTGCAGACAAATTCCTGATATAGCCCTCCACAATAGCAACCGGAAAAAAAATGATGCGCCTGGTACTTTCAAGTGCCTGGGGACATTCTCTGACATTCATGGGAAGCTACAGCATTTTTGGTGCACAGACTGGACTCTTCTTTACTGTGCCCTTTCGCTCCCAAACAAATGTCTAGCCATTGACTCGACGTTAATTAAAGTGTAGATTGGTGCACTCAAGCAATTTTTCTGAAGTGGTTGAGTGTTTTGTCCAAGGCTGTGGAAGGAAGGTCTGCAGAGCTGGGGGCAGGGCAATGGGGAGGGGGGGGGGCAGCACCACTGTTTAACATTTTTTGCTAAAAGCCGAAACTGTTTGTTGTCATGTTTTTTTGTGCTCGTTTTAATGCTGTGCGAGCAGTGGGTACTGTTCCGGATGCGTTCAATCTAAGTCCGCGTCAATTCGAGCAGCGCTACGGCGTCTCAAAGCCAGACGAGAACGACACCAACGTGATATTCCACTGCCGTGCCGGCATACGCAGTCGCCAGGCCCTGCGGGATGCACACGCATGTGGATACACACAGTAAGTGTCCACTAACAGTTAGCTGTTTGCCGATTTGTAGTTATGTCTTTGCTGCTGATTTGTACTGATACACTGCAGCTGCAGCATTTGTACTGATACACTGCAGCTGCAGCATTTGGAATGATACAATCCTTTCTGTGAGCCTACGAACAGTTAGCTGTTGGTGATCTGGTAGTCCATCTCTTTGCTGCAAATTTGTACTGATACACTGCAGCAGCACCGTTTGAAAGCTATTTTGGCGTGATAAAACTATAAAACGCCTGGCTGTGAGTATTCGATCACTTGTGATCGGAAGCTGCGCATGCCGTCCGCAAACCGGGATACGCGCTGTAATTCCTGGTGCATTCTCATCCAGCTGAACCCACGCATACATGTGTGTGCATGTATGCATGTGTGTGTGTGTGTGTGTGTGTGTGTGTGTGTGTGTGTGTGTGTGCGTGCGTGCGTGCGTGTGGGTGGATGTGTACGTATATATATGTACATGCGCGTACGTGCGTTTGGCTGTGTGTGATACAGGGCTCGTCACTACCTTGGCGGATGGCTGGAGTGGGAATCACATCAAGTCCCCAAATAGATTGACAACTGGTCGAATGATTCTTGCGTCGCGTCGGTTTTCTCCTTGTTTTGATTTCCCCATGCTGTTCTCGGTAGGCAGCTGTGGTATGTGTTTAGACAGTTTGTGGTGCTGGACACCTGAGTGCATGCTACACACTGCGTAATAGCAGTAGTCTTTCCCCTAGACAAACTGGCAAGTAGGTATCCTTTACTCCAACATGTGCATGCATTGAACCTGTTTTATCTCTTAGTTGTTTTATCCCTGCCGATGTATTGTTCGCACTTGATGCTGGCTTCTTCATGTGGCCCGGCTGATTTTTTTAAATTCCGCTTGGCACTATACCCTTATTCTAATTTATTCGACTTATTCAGCAGGACCTGTTTCAAGACCCTAGCCATTGCAATGACACTGGCATTATTACATCAACCTGTCTGAACAGGACCAATCTACTGCATGTACATTTGGTAGCTTTTAAAATTCTTGTAGGTAGGGCGTTGTATATGTATATGTGACGTAGTCTACACCATTAATCCTAGTGTTGACACTGAAATGGCATCCTTGTTAGGTATCATGTTATTTACACAGTTATACTGTTCTTGATGCCTGTGCATGTGCATGTGGGCCAGAGTAACCGTTTCCCTGATGATGCCCTCCTGGGAGAGAATTTGGAGAGATTGAAGATTTGCCACGGACAAAGTGCGGCCGTGTGCGCAGAGATTTGCTATGATCCTGACGAGGCTCCAATGGAGTTGCTGTAAATATTCAAGATTCCGGCGCTGCAAAATTTCGGCATTTCACATTTTTAGCATTTCAGCAGCGATTTATTCTCGACACTGGGAAATACCATGTACAGTAGGTATCGGTTATAGCGTGGGTGTTTGAAAAGCGACATTTGATTCTTATTTCCGATATTTCTTACACACGATAAATCACGTGTGGCATATCATACATAATATTATACACAAGAGTTCATGGGGGTTATGAACTCTTGATATACATGTACATGTATGCGCGCACGTTTGGCATGTGGACACGTACACATGATACATACGGATCAATCAGACTCGCTGCGGAGCAGCGGATAAGAGAGAAGTCGGAAGAAAGAGTCCGACTGGACAGAAAAGTGATTCTCCAATGCTCCCTTGGACATAACTCTCTTTTTGTGTTGAATATTATTGTATTGAGTATGCACAGAGCACAGATGTTATTACTACAGGCGATACACTTTGCACTAATCTGGCATATTTTGCTACACAAAATCCATTCTTAGGGCCGATATATTATACTATGCGATAATACTGCTTGTAAGAATAAATATACACATAAAATATGTGTTATGATTATGAAAAAATGAGTGTTCATTCTTGTAAGCAGTATATTCTTGTATACGACCACACTATAACCGATACGCACTGTACATCACCAAAGCCGATGTGAAAATTTCGCCAGCGTTTTAATTTCGACGTTTTGAGTCGGTGCCGAATATAGCCGAAATGTTTACCACTTTAAATGTGGGGTGTGTTTGGTTGGTACGATCTAGAACAGGATCGAACAGCTGGTGCACATGGAGCAGTGTCATGCCAACCAAACAGTACTCCAGAAACACAGCACATTTTTTGTGAAAAGGACGCCAAACTTGCATTCTTCAAAATGTGTACGAGTCACCATGGTTACTTTGTACGGTACAACGAGTGCATGCCAAGCTGCAAGTCCAGCCCAAAAGCATATGCACAAGATCATATTGCACAGTCGTCCCTCTTTAACCCGGCACTTTATAAACCAGCACCATTTTCAGTACCGAAAAAGTCCTCTTCATGCACACTGCAGCAGGAAATAGATCGGATAATCCAGCACCTCCCTAATCCAGCACCCTCCCTAATCCAGCACCTCCCTAATCCAGCACCCTCCCTAATCCAGCACCCTCCCTAATCCAGCACCCCCCCCCCCCCCTAATCCAGCACCTCCCTAATCCAGCACCCTCCTAATCCAGCACCCTCCTAATCCAGCACCCTCCCTAATCCAGCACCCTCCCTAATCCAGCACCCTCCCTAATCCAGCACCCCCCCCCCCCCAATCCAGCACCCTCCTAATCCAGCACCTCCCTAATCCAGCACCCCCCTAATCCAGCAGAGTTTCCTTAGCACACATGGTGCTGGATTATAAAGGGACCACTGTACCAAAATCGATGTTCCACCAGGTTTTTCTGTGAAAAAGTGAAACTACTCGGTCTGCTCCAGCCTCGAGGCCGGAGCAAGCAGAACATGTGTTCCGGCCGACCTAGAACAAGTGCAGTCGCAACCAAACGCGCTGTTCTGGTGAATCCTGTTCTAGGTTGTACCAACCAAACTCGCCCTAAGTGCATTAGACTGACTGCACTGCCCCCCCCCCCTCGCAAATTATGCGGCCGCGCAATATTTTGCATATTCGCCTATCATACGTCAAGGACGCGGCTCGGCAGAGGAAGATGAGTGCCACGGGGTGCTATTCCACCGTGACTTATCCCCTGCCAACTGCCGCAGCTGATTAATTAAGGCCTCCAAGCATGCTCAGGCGAATGCCGAGTCGGGCTAGGCAGTCCTGAGAAAGGCCAGAGAGGAGAGTTGTCCTGGGTCGACCCAGTCGACCGCGCAGGCTCGCCGTTGCTGAATTTCTAACACGCGCTGTGGAGGAGAGCTCTTCTGCATTTTCAGTACGTAACCGAGGAACTCCCAAATTGCATGATACTGGTTATAAGAAAATTTCCTACTAGTATACACACCCCTTTGCCTACGGACGGTCTATAGCACTGCCCCGCTAACGAGGACCGGCCCCAAATAGTGGCTGAGAACAGGCAGAGAAAAAATTGTGCAAGAGTATACAAACATATGACATTGTATTTACCACACCAGAGACAGGCCTTGGCGCAGGCACTGGCGCAGGCACTGGCGCAGGCACTGGCGCAGGCACTGGCGCAGGCACTGGCGCAGGCACTGGCGCAGGCACTGGTGCAGGCACTGGCGCAGGCCTTGGCGCAGGCACTGGCGCAGGCACTGGCGCAGGCACTGGCGCAGGCACTGGCGCAGGCACTGGTGCAGGCACTGGTGCAGGCACTGGCGCAGGCCTTGGCGCAGGCACTGGCGCAGGCACTGGCGCAGGCACTGGCGCAGGCACTGGTGCAGGCACTGGCGCTCGTGTTCTGGGTAAAGCCAAAAAAGGATGCCTCATAAGCCCCACTGACTTCACGCAAGTTTTGGACATAAACTTCATCCGAGTGTTTATTCCACCGTTCCGTATCCATTTTTAGCGCAAAACAAGCCCCTTGTACATGCTGTTCTCCACTGATTCAAAACTGATTCACGGCATCACGAGGGAGATGCCACGAACCACGTCAATATAAGATGGTCTATCGTACAAGTAATAGTCTTGAAGTCCAAGCTCCAACACTATAGGCAATGCCCTACAACTAGAGGACATGGGATATATAGAAGCCTTGCTTGATAGTTTAAAACATGTTATGGTTGCAGTCAGGAGCACAGTGCGTCCCCGCCTTGTAACCTGCTGTCGAAATTGAAAACAAGTTAAACTAGGGATCATGTGAGTCAATGTCAAGCCGCGCAGCTATGTGGACCACTACTGAAGGCTAGATCAAGCCGAACTCATTAGTTGGACACGTCTTCTTCTTTTCTGTTTATGTTTCGAGCTGTCCTTGAGCGTGTTTCGCAAACGCTGTGAATGATGCTGGTACCTCTGCTGTGAGGTCTATAAAGATATTCCAAAAAAAGAACTGAGAGCGCGTGTAGTGGAGGTGGATTTGCTTTATTGTTCTTGCGGCTTGGTATTAATATACCAGCCAGTGACAGTCAGTGCACTGCATTGACTTGTGTGTGTGTGTGTGTGTGTGTGTGTGTGTGTGTGTGTATGTGAGTGTGTGTGAGTGTGTGTGTGGTGTATGTGAGTGTGAGTGTGTGCCAGCTAGTTTGGTTGGTGGGTACACGTATGCCAGATAGTGTTGGGCCTGTTGCCACGTGACGGACTCGGCTGCTTGAAGGTGTATTGTTGTACCTACCACCTTTGTTGGTTTCAGGGTTCATATACTTTCTGTTTGAAGTATAAATACCTGTTAACCATGGACTGCTTCTGGCTAGATTAACTCTTGTGTAATCAATGGTGCTAGTGAAGCTTTTATCAGATCCACTCTGATTTAGCCACCCACACTAGTACCAAGTAATACCTTCACTGGGGGCAGGGGTACCTGCAGTTGGATCCCGGGACGGATACCCTGATGCCGCCAATCCTTTTTCTGCACCTTGTCCTCACCCACTTACTGAGGTATGGTGAGCCCATAAGTGGGATGATTTCAAGTCCACCCTAGTTTGGGGATTTCAGGGGGTGCCGGCCGTTGGGTGGTTCAATGGCCAATTGAGTCATCTTTCCAAGATTCCTTTTGAGTCTCTCTCCCCTCTCCCGGGGAGACCCACGTGACCAGTTTTGGCAGTGAGCAAGTACAAGTGTGTGTGTGTGTGTGTGTGTGTGTGTGTGTGTGTGTGTGTGCATGTGAGTGTGTGTGTGTGTGTGTGTGTGTGTGTGTGTGTAATTCTTTGAAATTCTTTGTGCTAGGCACAGTGTATGAGGACTACCCAGATGTGCATGGATTTTCCTACATTGAACCCTTGAATTTTTTTTAAATATAGGGTATGAAAACCGAATCCGATAGTGGCAGGCCCACTCAATAGTTAAGGTTATCAGTCAAAGGGTTCTATTCCACTCTTTCCATGTATATTGCTGAACAACTACTGAGGTGAACATACCTGGTGGACTGGTAGCTTGTCCGAAACAGTGCCTGGCTCCGGTGCATTTTCAGCTCCCGTGTTGTGAAGTACTCCAACCGTCTCCTCCCATCTGCGGCTGAGCCTCGGCATTCCCTAACCTGAGGTCTAACATGAGCTTGGAACTACTTAATACCGTGACGATGCTGGAAGAGAGTCCCAGCTGTACCCAGGTGTATGTCTGAAAATTGCAAACGTGTGCTTGCAGGGCAAACCATGGATGCTCCAATCCTCGCAGGAGCAAGATGGTGCAGTCAAGCTTACACTGTGAGGACTTGACTTTGAACATGCTGCCCCCAGCAGCTTCAATATCTCCTACATCAAGAATAGAGAAGAAAACGAGGGGTAAACAACAATACAATCTGCCAGGAGACGACAGTCGATTCAAGCTATGAAGAGAACGAGCATAAGCGAAATGTCTTTTTTTGTACAAATCAGGCTTAGGCATACGAATAGTTGAAGTACAAATAGCTTCAAGGACGGTCAACTGATTGACATAGCGGGCACGACGAAGTACAGAGAAATGCGACTTATCATACACACTAAGACGGTCAGGACGGCACACCAAATGCAAGTACACAGCCGACTTCTACCCATATGATGCATTCAAAAAAAGAATCAAAATGGACATCAAACATAGTGTGTAAGGCACAGAGGCAATGCATAATGTACACATCGTGTTCACAAGGACATGCCTGGCAAGTATTGCCCAGAAGACTGATTACGCTTCATACAGTGAAGGACTACTCGTTTGGGCCTGTCGTGGAGGTGCTTTGGTATGTAGCTGTGCTAGCTGAAAGCATGCAATAAGGGGCACATCAGGAGCGATGCAGGATTTGTGATCTTTTGCAATTCCAAATCTTCGTATCAGTAGGTGCATGATTGGAAGAGCAGATTGCACAGATATGTTAGGGTGTTCCACTCTGTGGTACACTGTATTGAAGTTTTTTTTAGATACAGTGAACACTGAAATGAAGCCTGGCTCTTCGCTTTTCCACTACTTTAGTCAGTTACCTTCGGAAAGAGCTCAGTTGGCTGAAATTCATCACCGCGAGCTTCCGCTTTTGCTCCTCCAGAAGAAGCCTTTCAACGATAACTGTAAACGTCTCACTAAGTGTCCACTTCTTCCCTTTGTTGGTGTTGAGGAATGAGCATTTCAGGACCTTAGTCAAATGACACGAGACACATACTGCATTTCAGAAATGGAACATGTCTAAAACTAAAAAGTTTTTTTTAAACAATCAAAAAAACGTAATAAACTTCCTCTGGAAGCCAGTGAAGCTATTTCTACTTGGAACACTAGTCGTAATTATCCATCTACCTGATCACCAGTGTCATGGCACATACTCGCTACTCATAGAGTAAACGGTACTCTATAAGTGATTCTTTGACTGACATTTAAAACCAGTGCACCGAAGCTTACCTTGTTTTGCGCTTCGGCTCCATTGTTCAAAAATACATCGTGCTGATAATCCACGCCCTCACCCACCGCTGAAAAAGAGTACACAATATCACACAACATCCAAAACAGCGACTGTAGCTTCATTTCTATTTCCCACCGTTTTCTTTGTGTCGTAGTACACCACTATAATACTATACTGCCATTCACTACCTGATCAGTGCCCACCATCATGCCCGCATTACTAACCACTGACTGCTCTTACAAATTCACAATACATGCTAGGGCATATTTCCCCGTTCCACGTTATTATGCTGCCTGATGGTTGCTCAGCGTGAACTCAGAGTGGCATATCCGACAATCCTGATTTCTGATGCTACTGTATAAGTACAAAGTTTCATTTGGCAATAACTTTCGCTATATTCGTTAGGGTGCACGAAATAACTAAAGTTTGTACCAAACTACAAGTTTTTTCAACATTCGGGGTGACAGACCTTGACCAAAAACGAAATTCAGTACATAACGAACCTGCTGGTGGAGTGATCTAACGAAAGATTCCGTGAACGAAAATTTGTACTTATACAGTATGTACAGCGTAGGAGTTTACTCGACCCTCAGGATTAATCACCACAAACGTGCCTCTGGGATTGAGAGCCATTTTCCATTCAGCCAGTTTCTCACTTGCTTATTGCCTCTAAAGCCATCCAGATCCTGCAATTTTGACTCTGCCTCACGATAGTGCCTAAAAGACAGTATAACAATGCACACAAGTCACAAGGTATGTCTAGGTGTCCACGTACCAGCAGGTAAAAAGTGCGGCAATGAGGGGTCGTCGCAAACGTTTTTTGTCGGAAACGAACATCGTTCCTTTCGTACTCGGACCACCTCCCCTCCCTCTGAAATGAACACAGCTTGCTATGCTGGACGACGAAAATCGCATGCATGTACATTTTTTTACAAGAACTTGAACCACGAACCTCGAGAACAGAATACTGCATGATGGAGGTGGCTGCAGACGCAACTGTGGAGGTGAAACTGGAGCATCTTCGCCGACCTGAGGTCACGGCCGACCTGTGGTCTCGGCTTCAGCGACACTTCATATGTATGTGTACAGTGTGGGTTGTCTTGCGATTTTGGCTCTCACCCCTCCACCCCTGGATTATGGCTCTCGCACTCCTCCACCCCTGGATTAACTTGTTATGTCCATATAGCACACACTCTCTGAAATCCGGCAGAAGTTTGCTAACGGATCAAAGAGGTAATCTGACAGTGAACTGCACGTGACCCTGCACCTCACCAATGAGAGGATGATCTAGGTGGTAGTTTACTGATGGCCACCAGGGGCGGATCCAGGGGGTGCGAAGGGTGCAAATGAACCCGTCAGGATTTTTCCAAAAAAAAAAAAAAAAAAAGTCAGGCCAGGCCAGGCCCAGGCTCGCTGCGCGGATGATTTGTGTGCAATCACGTGATCGTTCTGGACACGTGCTCGCGCCAGGGCTGCACATTTGGAATAGAACTTTTTTGGAACTAACTGTTACTTTTTCACCGGCAACAAACTCACTTCGAAGTTCTTTACTTTTGACGTTGCATGTTTCAGTTGTCGTGTTAGCTTCTTTCAAATTCTCACTGCTTGTTCCGACTCCGTTTCTGTGCATGCTGCGCGGAGATGTCGGACACAGCTGGTGGACCAGCTGGTGAGACCATGGAGCCTGCTGCTAAGCGTCGTTGTGAGAGCCATCATCCTTTTGACATTGGGCGATTTGCATAAAAACTCTTCCAAATTTTGACATTCAATGTGCAACTAATCATACTACAGTCGTCCCTCTCTAATCCGGCACTTTATAATCCAGCACCCTCGATAAACCAGCACAATTTTCAGTAGCCAAAATGTCCTCTTCATGTACATTGCAGCAGTAAATCAGATTTGTTAATCCAGCACCCTCCCTAATCCAGCAGATTTTCGTGGCACAAATGGTGCCGGATTATAGAGGGACCACTGTACTCATGTTGGTGCTATGTGTAATTATGATATTATACAGTAACACACATAACATACTATGTCTTTGGTTTACTACTGCAAAAGAAAATATGTAAGTTTCATCCTCGCACCGCTCAGCTTTGGGGTCTGGATCCGCCCCTGGCCACTGTGGAAACTTCCAAAGACTATAGTCACGCAACATGGGAAAGCTCAATAATCAGTGCAATGGCGAGCTCTGCAAGGCCAGCAGAGGGCCACTACTCAATGCTTGTCCAATGGTGGCTAAATTCTTGCTCTTACATAAAAGTCGAGTCGAAGGTTCGATGGACTTCTCTTGTGCTCTGGATGGCAGTCGTGAGTCAGTCAAGTGTCAAGTCAAGTTGGCGGAATAGCACGAGCTCCAGTGTGGGAGCAAACCCATTCCTAAAAAAATCAACGCCCAAGTCGCAACCACTATTTCTTACCTAAAAGTGTCTTGAAAAGTCCCTTGCGACTGCGTATTGCCATCAGTCTCCAAGCAAATCAGGTTGCTTTACATTCACCGAAATCTGCACAGGGTTATCAATTAAGCCAACACAGGCATTAGAGTATTAGAGTAGAGAGGGTTAAATACCAACTCCCTGACTGTGAGAGATAGAGTCGAACACACAATACATGTATCCAGACCACTCACAGGCTACTGTGCCACTAGTGAAGCTATTTGGCTGATGTCATGTGAAAATGAAAAGAAAGGCTATGTATCAGGCGCGTAGCACCGCCATTGGAGGTGGTCCGGCAGGAGGGGGGGGGGGGGTCCGGGGGTCCGGGGGGAATCTCGCGGGAAAGGTTTTGATAGTAGGGTCCAAAATCCTGCATTCTGCTCACTTTTTTCGTGGCTGGGCAAAAAAGTGGTCCAGCCAAAGCCGGACCGGCCGCACTGCCTGTCACGCCCCTGTGTGTTGGCTAATGATGACAGCAATATCACCCGATTAGAAGGAAATGCTGTTGGCAGTAGCAGTCACATTGGAAGCAGATCATATTTACCTGTACGTCTTCTCTCTAGTATCTTCCAGAAGCCGATACATGACGGGTTGTGTCGTCTCGGGTTTGAGAACCGTGAACGAACTTCCTCCACGCTCCTCGCCACGCCACACAACAAAGGACCACTACAAATTGTTAGAAAGCTTTTTCTTCTACCTCGCTTCAGTAGGCGATGGAGAACTCATGGTTATCAGACAACTAACACTGACAACGAACGACTGACGACTGACACTGAGACAAGACTAGACAACAGAATATATTAGATTGAAGGCGTACAACGGGGACAAGACGAGCAAGTGTGTACCACCGGGGACAGAAGACGGTGCAGCCGCATGTACGCAGGAGTCAAAAACAGCGCAGCAGCATGTACCACGACTCAGCAGCATGTACAACAAAGAGACACAAAAGCAGCCACATGTACGACAAAGAGCTACACGTGCAACCGCATGTACAACGAAGAGACACAAGCGCAGCCACATGTACAACACTATCCCCCATCAAAAAAAAAAACATCCACTCCTGTGGATGGAAGCAATCAAAACAAAATTAGAAGAATTGTCGTCGGGGGGGTTTTATTCCCTCGCACGATAGCCCTTCCGACTACTCTCTTATTCATCCATCACACGTACGCCACACTCAGAGGACAGATTATCACTGTTGTTCCAAGGAGAGTCTCAGGAAGAAGGCACCGAAAACAACCAGGATGCGCACGATAAGCATGCACGCATGCGCAACCTGCACGTGCCAAAAGGGGCACACACGTGCCAAAAGGGCAGGGACAACAGGTTGTGTTTCTGTTGGGGACTTGGCACTGCACGCGAAAAGGACACAAATCGGCAGACCTGCTGGAAGGGTACATGCACAATGTTAATACAGAGCACACAGAGCTTTCAAATAACAAATGATCGTGGAATGGCTTCAATCACTCCCAAAAAACTACATCTGGCATGGCAGCTCATTGTTCATACTTATACTGTAAATCAGTAAATCAGTCTATATTTTGCAAGCGCATTATCTTCGTAAACCGAGAAAAACAACACTTTGTAGTCATGTAAGTTTCGTTAGTGCCATCGATCGGGGGTTAATACGTGCATGCAAACAGTACTGTTCAGTAAGTGTGACATAATTTTAGTAAGCGTTTCAATTTCGTAAGTGACTGGAGTCATACGGAATTTGCAAAATTAAGACGAATGCGAAATATAATTGATTTACAGTGCACGATTGTACTGCTCGTTGCTATTTGCCACACACCCTCAGTGTATGTGATTTTCGAAAGAAAACATATTGTCGTGCTAACTCAAGCTTTGCGGAATGTTCCAATTCCGAGTGGCCCCAAGACCAAGCAGCAATTCCCTCTCTATACCCACTGTATACTCCCAAGCTGGGCGCATGTCTGCTGCATTCATTGGCGCTCAACACTTCAGGCAAACCCCTTCGAATTACTAATACCCCCATTTCATATCACCTTGAACTCAGCGTGTATACCTCAGGGTCTCAGTGTTGGACATGCCCCAGTAAAACGATGCTACAATACGATACGAAATATGCTGCCTGGGTACATTTAAAAAAGGCTTGGTTTCTCTCTGCCGTACTTATGGTCCGGAGTCGACGAAACCGATACTATCCACAGATTGCATACTAAGCTAATAACTATCAGTGTACTTCGCTGGTAGGAGCTGATCTACTCACCGCCCACCGCTTTCGGAGCTGCATCTGCGCCTTAGATCGTCACAGTGCAGGGTGGTGGCGTTCCTACAGATGCTGAAAACTCAGTCTAGCCGAGTCGCAAGCGAACCGTAACATTTTAATTGATCAGTCTACACCGGCGTGTAGTGGTCGACAGCCTACATTATTATTATTATTCCCGTAGCTATGCAGAAGACGTTACTTCAGTAACGTCTGGCGCTAGCCAGGGTCCACACAGCTTTAATTTGGTGTTTTTTGTGTGTTTGTTTGTGTCACGCCTGGCGCTATCCGTATCTGACGGCAAAAAGCATAGGATGTTATAAATTTTTGAATTCTCCTATTTTTTCAGGCATATCCTGGGATTCGAACCCGCACTATCGCCCTACATGTATTCCCCCATACACTTCGCATTCATACCCATTCTTCCAAGTTGCTTCACGTTATTATCTTGCGTTTGAAAGCCCTACTTGAATATTGCGGGCAGCTGTATGTGGCCAGCTGTGTTTGATGGTACGGTACGGGAGACGGTGTCGTATTATCCTCGATCGTACCTGTCCCGTACCTATCCCCTACCGTACCGTGCCATCAAAGACGGCTGGCCACAATGCATATTCAAATAGGGCTTTCAAATGCAAGATCACAATGTGAAACAACTTGGAAGAATTAGTATGTATGCAAAGTGTATCGGGGGATGCATGCAGGGCGCGCGATAGTGCGGGTTCGAATCCCAGGTTATGTCTTAAAAAAGGATTTTTTTAAAGAATTTATAACATCCCTATGCTTTTTTTTTTGTCTAGGTCATCAAGGCAAAAAAGCATAGCGTAGGGCCCTGAGCTTCCAAGCTCTCTCGTTATTATAGAGGGCAGTCACCATGATGGTGTAATACAGCTCTGTATACAGCTAGTCTGTACAGCTCCAAAAACACGTTGAATACCAGTGTACTGAGAATCTTTACTACTAGTATGCACTTCACAGGGTCATAAACTAGTCAGTACTAATTTGCAGCCAAACCGGGACTGCAGATCCGAGGCCAAAATCTGGAAAAGAAAATACACCGTCTTAAAAACAATACTCGGAGTTCTTGCTGAAGAAGTTCTGGGGTGCTTCCACTTTCAATGGTTTTTAATATTGGATTGCAACTACTCATTTCCAGGCACCTTCCACAAAACGCGGTCCGATGCAAACTGGATAGTCCGAACTGCTTGCAATGTAAATAATCCAGTGATACAAAAATTCGTTTCTAACAGAACGTTTCTATGTCCTTCTCCGGAGGCAATGGAAAACGTCAAATCAAATGTCATCTCTTCACCTTCACCCTGTTTTTGACCTTTTCTACTGAATTTCCTTTCACATATGTAGTGTGAGGTTTTGATCTACGTTATACATGTATACGTGTATGCTATCGGACTTTGATTCTATAAGTTGCTGTGTTGCATTTTCCATTATTCCCCATACTTATCCATGATGAGAAGGGAACGAAAACGTTCAGTTACACAACTGGTTTTACTTGACTGTGCCGCTGTGTGGATTGCGTCGGCCCGGTGCTGACATTTCTATCGAAAAATTAAATCATCCGAATTTCGGGCAAGGCCCATCGTCAGGAATGCAGCTGCAAGGAAATAATAATGATAATTCGTATGCGCCAAAAGTTCATATGATCGACATGAGTAACTCGATTTCCCCTTTTTCTTGAACTTCCTGCCGCTCAGGAAGCACTGTGGGCAGGACATTTATTTTTGTGCATCTTGGAACTTGATTTCGACACAACCCGTTTTGCCATTTATAGCCAATTGCATATGTCTGCAGCAGATGGCTCCTAAAAATGGGTATACTCAAGGTCAGATATCAACACAGGAAGTGAGGTGGCGCCCGGCATGTACCTGCAGTACAAGTGAGGAAATACGGTAGATAGATACGGTAGATAGATACGGAAAAGAGAAATAGGTCCAGTTTGGATTTGTCGTGACTCAAAGTTTCATGCCACTGCAATCATCAGACGACTGACAATAAAAACCTAAGACTAATCCAAACTGGACCTATTTCTCTTTTCCGTGTGAAACGCAGTGCACTTTGTGCATTGAGCACTTTGCCGGCAATTGCCAAAATTACTCCTTTGTAGATAGATAGATAGATAGATAGATAGATAGATAGATAGATAGAGAGAGAGAGAGAGAGAGATAGAGGGAGAGAGAGAGAGAGAGAGAGAGAGAGAGAGAGAGAGAGAGAGAGAGAGAGAGAGAGAGAGAGAGAGAGAGAGAGAGAGAGAGAGAGAGAGAGAGAGAGAGAGAGAGAGAGAGAGAGAGAGAGAGAGAGAGAGAGAGAGAGAGAGAGAGAGAGAGAGAGAGAGAGAGAGTAAGTGAGAGACAGAAAGAGTGAGTGAGTAAGGGAGTAAGTGAGAGAGCAACATATGGCACCATAGGTTGCCACTGTTCCTGGTCATGGAACATGTACAGCTGTTGGATGGCTAGCCATGACCATCTTAAATGTAGCCTGAGGTCTGAAAAGGACCAGGAAACTGAGTCCTCAGGGCAGATACATGTGTTTCTGGACGACATTGTGTAAGCTTGAGTGAATGTAGACTACTAATATTGTGTAAGCTTGAATGAACTGACACGCAAGGCTGTACAGCTGTGTCAGATAGTGGAGGAATTTCCGGACTTTCCCTGACCACCCCATCTGCATCTGGCATCCAGCTGAGGCTGTATTCACTACTCCTCTTGAATGCCTTCACTTACATGACTCATGGGTGTTTTAATTATTTCGGTATTTGTGATGTGGACAAACAACATCATGTCCCATGGTCTGTTGCAGTGTTAGTGGCTAGTGTCTAACTCTGAGGTGGTTATGCATCTATGGTCTTTTCAATCCATCTGTGGACTGTGTATTGGCTATTGGTTTTCATGTTTCTCAGTTCACTCACTTACAAGGAGTGCCCTGCGTCAGACCGTGTGATAGAAGAGTCTTGGTGAGCCTTGCTTCCTGAGCTGCCTTTTCACAGTGTCTTGTGTCACAGTCAGACTGGCAGCAATATCAGTGAAACCCCCAGGCGTCAAAATTAATGCATAGTCATAAATCATGGAACAGTGCATGCAGCGCCCACGGGTTACACGCATCACATACATGTACATGCATATTGCAATAATTATTACAATCATTTGGCTGGCCGCGCACAATCATTACACATACAACCAGTACACTGGTGCAATGTATTAAATTTTTGTCAATCACCTACCGGAGAATGAGTAGAAGATTGAACATTTCTGGATTGATCCAATTATTATTCCTCCAGGTTGTCGTGGCTCCAGTCCCGGTAAGGATACGCTGCCACGTGAATGCAACAAGCGGCGTGTACTTGATCAGTTCAAGTGTGATATCGGGGCTAGCAAACTTCACATACATGTACATGCATATTGCAATAATTATTACAATCATTTGGCTGGCCGCGCACAATCATTACACATACAACCAGTACACTGGTGCAATGTATTAAATTTTTGTCAATCACCTACCGGAGAATGAGTAGAAGATTGAACATTTCTGGATTGATCCAATTATTATTCCTCCAGGTTGTCGTGGCTCCAGTCCCGGTAAGGATACGCTGCCACGTGAATGCAACAAGCGGCGTGTACTTGATCAGTTCAAGTGTGATATCGGGGCTAGCAAACTTTCCAGCACGGCCGGAAATGGTTCAGAAGTTCCGCAGTGGCTGCATGCTGTCGCGCTGGCTGCATATTGTTGGTGAATGTAGTTCGCCGCCGGGCACATATCGACATTATAATTCCGACCAGTGTGCCAGGGGATTGATGATCAGCAACCCCTAGCTGATTGCCTCGTATCGGAAACGAGCGGAACAGGCGAGTGCAGTATATCTCCAGACCGTCCGCTGCCTGACCGATCCATCCTATCCAGTTTTAGAACGCACACATTTTGTAAGTTGAACGAGCGGGATCAGTTTAGAAGCAAGCCCGAACACGGTCGGGCGAGTGTCGGGACCGCTTTGCCAATGTGTCCCACCATTTTCGCTCTTGTCAGCCATATTGTGGGCTGTTCATCGGCTCCAGTACAATCTCAAAGTCTGCCAACACCAGCCATTACATTATCGCTTATTGAAGTAATACTGATAGTTAGTTGTACGGCAGCTCTGTGATTATGATGGTCACCGCATGCCAAAACAACGAAAAAACCCTTTGTTGAGTCTTGAGTCTGATCTAATCATGTCGAATGTAGAACTACTTTTTGTCTTTTGCCGAAATACATGGCTTGTAACATCGTTGGCAGTACACGCGTTCCTTGCTGTCAACGGTCGTTAGAGCGCGAGGAAAAGTGTGTGTTTTGGGGGGGGGGGTTGGAAGGGAGGGCGTTGATAATGGGGGGGGGGGGGGGGGGGCTGGGGCATTCTCAGTCAGACCGTTTTCCAAACGGATCAAATCCTAGGTCGATTGAATGCCAGATTGTTGTAAACGGTAAGATGGAGAATTCACATTTGAGCCTTTTTAGGAGCGATTTGGGAGAGAAGTGGGACAAGCCTGACATAACCGCTGTTCAGAATCATACAGATTCTATTTTGTCTTTGCTCTAGCTAACAAATGCAAGCTTGTCGAGGCCTTCTTCAACGACGTGGAGTATTTTCGTACAATGCAGTAGTTCAGTAAAGCTTGTTCATGGGACCTGCCGAACGATCATCAGCGACGGATCAATCAATGGTAGGGCACAGAACGGAACGCACAATGCTTGTTTTCTTTGCAACATGAACGACAAGCATTTCCTAAAGCTGCGTCATGCAGGCCCGACATTGACGCTCATGTCTCTGTCTTTCTCCGCCGACCCCTCGTAAAAGGTGCAAATGCCGCCATATGTACATGATGTCATTGAGCAGAAGCCGTGAACAAAGCCCTTTACTGTTACGACTCACCCACTGGTTTTGCATGTCTAGCTATGTTAGCAGAGGCACAAACACAACTACATTTGTACCACCAATAGTGAATAACTACTTGTATCCGTGTACAAAGCCAGTAGACTACTAGTATCAGCACTAATAGTTCTGCAATGTCTGCCACCCATGCTGTATTGGAACAGTTCACAACCGATGGTAACGTTCTTGGCAGACATCACATCCATCCTTTCAGCCCGTGTTTCCGAAGTTATGTCTGCGTAGGCACTGGCCGAGGAACTGTCTGCCTTCTAAAATCCGCTTTCTCTTTCCTCCGAGCTCCTCAAGACTGGCTCAACTCTCAAGACTGTAGTAGTGTAGGGTAGAGTCTACAGGCTAGACATCACCATTCAGTGCAGTACATGTACCACAATGATATTATGTGCAAGCGATGTCAGAGACATGGACAAAGTTCCTTCGCCGAGCTCTTCCTTTTCCCCGATGCCAAAGCGGAGAGGCTGAGTTGGAACATCCAGTCGGAGATAAACAGACTCAGTGAGTGGTTACTGTAGATTGCCTGCAACTGGCGCCTGTGCAGAAGTGGTTCTGTGCGTGATTGTGCTTGTGTTGGCCCTACAAGGCTTGGAAAATGCAGCCGCGGTTGCACAATGGCCTCAAGCTAGTGCTCAGTGAGAAACGTAACGACGTTATCCTTGCTCTTCACGCTGTTATGTTCACTTCTGAACACTTGTTACTTGCATGTACATTGTACTTGATTGTACATGACGTGTGTATACTTCCATATTATTATTATCTAACTAGGTGTCCCTTCTAAGTAGCTCTTTGTACTCGCCCCAAATCCCTATGCAGGAAATCTCATACTGACGGTATAGCATACAATGAATGGTGTACGGGGTGTCGTTTGTTACTTGTTTAGTAACATGTGGGAACACGCCTGGTGACTGTTGTGGTCCACTGCTGGATGTACAGACAGTGTACACCATTCATCACGCACAAAGTAGTCGCATTATCAGGTCAGCCATGATGTACGTGTACACGCCAACACAGTACATACAGCGTATCACTATCTGATCTGCATGCCCGGTACTGTCTGGTCCTGACTTGCACCGCGCCTGCAGGGCAAGCCGCATCTGGAAAGGGCGGCTGACTATCATGATCTGCTGCAAGCTCAGATCGCACACTGCCACGGGTCACGGAAAGTGGCAAGGTACTTGCGACAAGCGGCCATCTGACTGCACGGCGTGTGACAAAAAGCGAAGAAACATGCATTCCCTACCTCGACGCGCTCGCTTGCGGTGATCATGTACACGCTTTCACATGACGGTCGATACACTACAACTACGTACTTACATGTCCTTACTCGTACTCCAAGGATGCTGTCCTGCAGTCAGTGTGGGTCACTGCGTCAGTTTGGCCTTTGCGGTGCGTCTGCCATGTACTTACATGTACATGTACACGACCCTGCGTGCCTGGTAACACCTCTAACGGATATACATGTCGCTTGCGGTTGAAAGAGGGCACGTAGGAAGTACGTACGCTCGCGCCAGTCGAGTAGCTGAGTCACAGGTACTAGGTGTGACGTGACAAAGCACCTGCTGTGTGCCTGAGTGAGAGTGAGAACTTGAACTGTGAACGCGTGATCTTGGAGACATGCTTCGGTGCATATCGCACCTTTGTCTAGATTTTGTCAAGTTTTTGCACCCGGCACCACGTCCAAGCGTGTGCTTCGAGGTAGGCTGGGACTTGGGAGGTAGGCAGTATCATCGACATCTCCCTGTCTTTACCCTGCATTGGTGCAGCAGAAACTGTCCTGATATGACAGGATTCCGCTTGATCCAGGGGTGCACACAGCACCTTTTTTGGTGCATGAACATTTTGTCCGGTCAATGCAGGAATCCGCTTGGTTTCACGGGCGTGCACTTGTCCATGTGCTAGGAGTGAGAGTCTGCGGACAAGCGCCGTTCTCTTTCTCACAAACACCTCAGCCCGTTGCATGAATAAGACAAGGACCAACGTGGCAGTGCCCCAGTGCCAGTGGCCTTACTGACCTCGCGACCACCGTCTAC